TAACTCTATTACCCTGTGTCAACTTCATCAACCTTGTTGTCATAGCACGGAAACAGACCGTTCATTCCTATTCGTCCATGCCGACCAGGTATCCTAAATTAATCTAGTCCCATTTACCAGCGTTTGGCCCTCATCCCTCTAAACCCTTCCTATTCATGTACGCATCCAGATGTCTCTTAAATATTGAAATTGTACCAGCCTCCACCACTTGCTCTGACAATTCGTTCCATACAGGCACCACCCTCCGCGGGAAAAAGTTGTCCTTTAGGTCCCTTTTAAATCTTGCCCCTCTCACCTTAAACCATGCCCTCTGGTTTTGGATTCCTCTACCACGGAGGAAAAGACCTTGGCTGTTCACTCTATCTATGACCCTCATGGTTTTAAGAACTGCTGTAAGGTCACCCCTCAGTCTCTGAACCTCCAAAGAAAATAGCTCCAGCCTACTCAGCCTCTCCCTATAGCTCAAACCATCCAACCTTTGCAACATCCTTGTGAATCTTTTCTGAACCCTTTCAAATTTCACAACATCCTTCCTATAGCAGGGAAACCAGAACTAAACACAGTACTCCAAAAGTGGCCTAACTAATGTCCTGTACAGCCACAGCATGACCTCCCAACTCTTATATTCAATGCACTGACCAACGAAGGCAAATGTACCAAATGCCTTCTTCACTATCCTGTCTATCTGGGACTCCACTTTCAAGGATCTATGAGCCTGCATTCCAAGGTCTCTTTGTTTAGCAACACTCCCTAGGACCTTACCATTAAGTATATAAGTCCTGCCCTGATTTTCCTTTCTGAAATGCAGCACCTCTCATTTATTTAAATTAAACTTCATCTGCCACTCCTCAGCCCATTGGCCCATCTGATCAAGGTCCCGTTGTACTCTGAGATAACTTTCTTGGCCCTCCACTATACCACCAATTTTGGTGTCATCTGCAAACTTCCTAATCATACCTTCTACATTCACATCCAAATCATTTATATAAATGACAAAAAGCAGTAGGCCCAGCACCAATCCTTGTGGCACACCACTGGTCACAGACCTCCAGTCCAAAAAGCAACCCTCCACCAATACATTCTGTCTCCTACTGTCAAGCCAGTTATGCATCCAAATGGCTAGTTCTCCCTGTATCTCATGTAATCTAACCTTATTTATTGTAGGTGCATACACAATGCCAGTAGAGCTCTTGTGGTAGAGTGGTAATGTCCGTATCTCTGAGCCAGATGGCCTGGGTTCAAGTACCACCTGTGTAAGATGTGTGTAATACCATTTCTGAACAGGTAGATTAAAAAAAATCTGCACTGTGCCTTTAGGAGAGAGTTCCAAGAATAGGACCAGCGATTATATTTCCACATCAGGATGGTGGGAACTTGCGTGTGGTGGTGTTGCCATGCATCTGATGCTCAAGTCCTTCTGAATGGTAGTAATCATGTGTTTGGAAGATGCTGCTTAAAGAGATTTAAGGAGTTGTTGTAATTCATCTTGTAGATGGTATATACTGCTGCCACTGTGCATCAGTGGTATATGGAGTAAATGTTTGTGGATGTGGTGCCAGGGTGAAGTTGTGATCTAATGGCAATGTCACTGGACCAGTAATCTTGAACCTCAAGCTAAAGTTCTGGGGACGTACGTTCAAATCTCCCAGGGCAGATGATGAAATTTTAATTCCTTTAATAGATCAAAGCCAGCTTAATGGCAACCATGTAACCACTGTCAATTGTCATAAAAATACCTGTTTGGTTCACTGTGACCTGTAGGGAAGGCACTCTACTATCCTCACCTGGTTGGGCCTATTTGTGACTCCAGACCCTCAGCAATGTGGTTAACTCTTAGGGATGGGCAACTGACCAGTGACACTATATTTTATGAATGAATAGAAGAAAATTGTGAGGGACAACCAAAGCTGGCCTTGAGATGAATGAAGGGGGATCTCATAGACACTGATAAAATTCTAATAGGATGAAACATTTTAGATGTGGGAAGGATGTTCCCAATGGTGGGTGAGTCCAGAACCAGGGGTCATAATTTAATAGTAAGAGGACTGAGAAAACACTTCTTCACCTGGAGAATAGTAAGCCTGTGGAATTCGCTAACACCAAAAGTGGTTGAGGCCAAAACATTGAGTTCTCAAGAAGAAGGTAGATATAGCTGTTGTGGCTAAAGGGATCAAGTTATATGGGGCGGAGTGGGATTAGGGTATTGAGTTCAGTGATCAACCATAATCATATTGAATGGTTGGGCAGGCTAGAGGGGTCGAATGGCCTGCTCCTGCTCCTGGCTTCTATATTTTTCTGTTTCAATGCCATATCACATTAAAGCATGAAAATACATACAAGTCAGCGACAAGAGAATTAATAAAGTACGTAACTATTGTCGCCATTGATATATATAAACACCAATTGAACATAGCTCTCCCTTGTGTAGTCATAAGGTTTTCCAATGTCAGCAGCTCCGAATCAATCCACAATAATAAAAATGTAAGTAATCACGCCACTAAGCCTCAACCAGGGTTGCAGTGTGGAAAATACAGATGACCTTTCCAAACACTTGTGTCAGTGAAAGTCATAGGCTGGGCCAACATTTATTGTCAGTCACTAGTTGCCCTTGAGAAGGTGGTGGTGTGCAATATTTTATTGTGTTGTGAGATGGCCTTAATGTGGTAAAGCACTTCTGAATTTATTAAGGGGATTTGACGTGGAGCAATTTGAGGAAGTTGTTTTCAGTCGCAAGCCAATAAGTTCGTTTAATACTTTCCTTCTATCAGGCTGACCGAAATTAAGAGTGAAACTGAATGCACTTACGTCATTTGCAATTGATCTTGAAAACTACGCAGCAAATAGACTGCAAGTTCCAGTCTATACAGACAGTACACAGACAGATACAGGCAGTAAAATGGGGAAAATCTTTCAAGTGTTTGTCGTGGGATTGAAAGGGGAAAGGATGACTGTTGATGTTTCGCACACTGAGACAGAGTTTCACGCAATGCTCGTTCGCAAGTTTAAGGAACTCTTGATGAAGAAAATGCCTAGAGATGCAGGTACATGGGCAATAATTGCAATGAGAGTAGCCTTGTCAAACTAATAACAATAACCAGCTAAAGGATTGAATAGTCAATCATATCACCTGGTGGTACGGGTTGAAAATTAAGCTGCATGATACCGATTCAAATCTTTGCGTTTTAAAGCGTTTAACCCAAACTTTAGAATTTAGCTTTCCGGAGGTATGCGGGGTCTAAATCTATTTAAGTTTAACATTGGAATAAGAACTAACCATAGTGTGTATTGAGTTTTTTTCAGATTTGTTTATTCTTCTCCGTTTCTCTTTGTGTTTTATGGATTAGCCAGGGCACAAGATCTGCGCATTCTTTTTGCTGACAAACAATTGGAGGATAACAAAACATTCGCTGACTACAGCATCAAGGATCAATCAACAGTCCTTTTGGTGTTACGTCTGCCCGGAGGAGTGGTATAGAGAGAAGGTTTTGGAGGGCTTATCATACCGCTAAAAACGACATATTCCAATGACCTGATGAATCTGTCTAATCGAACTCTGAAAACCCGAAATCGCTATGTTATTCGAGGAAGGCTGACGTAACCGAAATGTTAACATCACTGCGTGTTAATTACTTTAGAAATATCTTTCATAGCATTAATACGTATGTGCTATGATAAATCGCAACTTGTATTTTAACATTTAGCCTGTAGAAGAACTTGTTTATTTGTTCATTCCTGATAAGTGATCTGTTGTATTCCTAATAAATTGCTCACATTGGTAATTTATACAATTACGATAAGATTTGTTTTAGTTTTACAGTGTTGGGTAGTGAAACCATGTACAGGTCCACCTGTTTTGGTACAGCTCAGTGGCTTGCCAGGCCATTATGGAGGGTCAGTTAAGAAACAACCTAATTTATCTGGTTCTGGAGTGATATGTAAGGACAGGCACTTTTCCTTTCTAAGTGTTGACTGAAAGAGATGGCTTTTTTTTAAAACAACAGTTGACAGTTTTATGGTGACCATTGCTAAAACTGGCTTTTAATTCCAGATTCATAATGAATGTTCCAAATTTAAGGTCATTTGCCCAAAGTAGGGGCTCACCGTATATGATTAACATACAAGCATACAAGAAGATTGGCTGGCAGCAGAAAGCAAAGAGTATGCATAAACAAGAGATCAGCAAGATGTGATGAGTGGGGACCTACAATTATCTATGCTGAGCCCTTTTCACAACTTCTATCAATGATATAGATAGGGATTGAAGGAATAGTGGCAGATGACATACAGCAAATTAGGAAAGTATATTGTGAAAATGACAACAAGGCTGCAGAGGCTATACATAACTTAAGCAAATGAGCAAAAAATTGGCAAATACAGTAAAATGTAAAAATAATGGAAAAGTATGAAGTTGTTCATTTTGGAAAGATGAATATAAATGCTTATATAATTATATATTATATAAATGGAGAACTGCTGCAGAATTCCAAGTTACAGAGGGATCTAGATGTTCTTGACATGTCACAAAAAGTTTGTATGCAATAAGAGCAAGTGATTAAGCAAGTTAATAGAATGATATTCTTCATTATGAAAAAAATTGAACATAAGGCTAAAGATGTTATGTTTCAGTCATACAGGGCATTAATAAAGCATCATCTCAAACACTGTGAAGTTTCGCTCTCCTTACTTGAAGAAGGATGCAAATGCATTTGGAGGCAGGTCAGAAAAGGTTTACTGACTTGAGACGTGGAAAGAGCAGGTTATCTTATAGGAAAGATTTGACAGATTGGGCTTGTTTTCACTAGAAATTAAAACAGTGAGGGATGATTTGATTGAAGTCTTTAAGATTCTGAATGATCTTGACAAGGTGGCCAGGAAAGGATGCTGTAGGTGAGTGCAGAACTAGGGGACACTGTTTAAAATTAGGGCTTGATCTTTGAGGACAGGGATGAGGAGAATTTTTTTCTCTCAGAAGATTCTCAGATTCTTGAACGCATTATCTCAGAAGGTGGTGGAAGTGGGTCATTGAATATTGTTAAGACAGATATGGATAGATCCATGTTAGGCAAGGAATCAGTGGTTATTGGAGTGAATGGAAATGTGGAATTTGGATCACGAATGGATCAACTACAATCTGTTGAATGGTAGAGCAGCTTGAACGACTGATGTCTACTTCTGTTCCTGTTTGGTATCTTTGTACATATGTTCGTACTTTAACTTTGATTTATACTTGTGTCCCACGCATTTGTTTGAGCATTAAGAATACTAGTCCAGTGGCATTTGCACTACACTTCAACTGATGAAAATGATGATAACAGTCTATAGCATCTTGAGATTCTAAAATCTAACTGCAAAGTGCACAGACTTAGACTCAAGAAAGGAATGGTTCATATTGCATGAAACCTAAATCCTAAACACTGACTTTGTCATGGAACAAGTTCAGTGATTAGAAAGTTGTTTTCTTTGATATATGCCAGAATTATAACTAGCAAGTTTTAAGGAAAAAAAAAATCTGGATCTTCCAAGGAGCAGCAATCATCCTTAAATTTCAGCTCCACTCAAACTTATACCCTGATTCAATGCTGCTTCGAGTTTCTTGCCAGGTCTTGTGTGACCAGCTTTCCTAGAAATGCAGAAAGCAGCAACTTCTCAGAGAGTTCAGTCACAGTGGAGTGGAGTTTGCTCCTCTTTTAATGCTTTGGTTCAATGCTGTACCGGAATGGGTGCGAGGATAAATACATGAATAGGTAGGGTGGTAGGATAGATAAGTGAATATGGTAAGTGGTTAACTGGGTGAATTAAGTAGGTAGGTGGATTGGTAATAGCTGGGTAGGCAGATGTCTAAGGTGTTAGGCAGGTGGAGTGCCTAGGTCAAGGGTCATTCAGACACAGGGAGAAGGTGCAAACTCCACACAGACAGTTGCCCGAGAGTGGAATTGAACCCAGGCCCCTGGTGCTGTGAGGCAACAGTGCTAACCACTGAGCCACCGTGAAGAAGCACAAGCAATGGAGACACTCAGTGGTTCAGACTACATCTGCTGAGAAAATAGTCAAATATAATGCACTGCATGTTGTATTTTGGAATAGATTCCAGATATGACAGCCCTGTATCATTAAGACAGTTATATGACATCATAACATATGTCCTTCTGGAGTAAAAATGCAGGCCTCGCTTTCACACATTCTTTCGAGATAATGGAGTTATTGTAGTCAATTGGTTATGTGTGTGTACTGTAGTAACACCAGTAAACACAGAACTCAGATTTATTTGCACATCTGTGATATTATAACCTGTCAAAAGATAATGTAAATAAACTTCAAGATATCTCGCTCAACAGAATCTGCCTATCTGTGGTATATAGTACACAGGGTAATATGTACTGAAAAGTACAAATAGCATCATTGCTTATAATAATTTTGTCAACTGACTAATCATGGTCTATCAATTGTTGCTCTTTGATCTGATGAATGTCTCTGTCATCTCTGTTTTTTCTTTCAAAGCATTGGCTATGATATTGACAAAGATGCGTTTCCTGAGCAGAGGGTTGGAGTTTTAGTCAACTCAGCGGCACACATTTTTTAAAATGGGATGCCAATCAAGATGTCAGCATGGAGGGGTGGTTTGAAGCAGGCTACTGCTGATGCTAGTGTTCCAGGTCCCAACCATCCAACTTCGTGGTGGGGTTTGGGAAGGATGGTGAACTGATGCTTGACATTGCAATGAGTCAGATCAAAGGATGACGTCTGAATTCTGACCGAAGTGTGGGTGCAACCACTGAGTGTTTGTGGAGGTGTTTTGGATGGGGTACTTCATAATGGGAGGCATGGTATGGGGTCTATACCAGGGAAGCAGGTAGTTTGGGGCACCAAGAGGGCACACCTGCTGGCCATGCTGTAAAAGCAGTTATGTCCTCCCCAGAACTGTCTTTCCCTTCCAAGATCTAGGGAACTTGACTGGTCAGGATTCAATCTGCAATTGGAAGTTACCATATGATTGCAGCCTCATTATTTTAATGACAACTTGCTTCCAGGGAGTGGGTTGGCTGCTCTCCATCTTGTGTTCTGCCTCAATTAAACCGAAAATAAATGGTTGTTTCGTCATCAGAGGAGAACAAGTTAAAGGCCATTATCCTTAAATTCCTCAGCTCATGGAAGAGGTGGGTGTATTTATTCTCTTTAAGGATGTGGATGTTACCGGCAACACCAGCCTTTATTGACTCCCTCCTCATTTAAAATGTTCTGGTGAGCTTCTCTGTTGAACAGTTTCTGTGGTGTAGCTATCTTCACAGAGCTGTTAGGGAGAGTGTCGCAAGATTTCAACCAAGAACAGATGAAGAAACAATGATTTATGTCCAAATCAGGACAAAATGAAACTCGAAGAGGAATTTCAAGTGGTGAATATACCTATGCCCATCCAGAAAGGGCTATTCTCCTGTTTTTATATATCTATATGGAATGAGAACAACCCCCACCCCAACCCTCACATTTCCCTGGCCCTACTATCCCTATTCAGCTTCACTTGTACAATGACCATGTGTTGTTAGCCACAGCACAGTTTTTTTTCATTCTCTGCAATGTTTGATGCATTGTAGCAACACATAGGCTCTATGTCAATGGACTGCAAGGACCAATAATATGGATTATCTCCTAACTTACCATGATTCCGAAAGTATTGCTACTGAATTTCTCGGTTACTGCCATTTAAAAAAAAACAAAATGAGGAGGAAATGTATAAGCCAAAGTAATTTAATATTTCCCTGTTAACTGAAGTGAACTTTGAAATCAGAAACAGGGGAAAAAGAACTATGAAACAAATGCTTTATGGGCGTTATCTTCATATCAAACAACCTCCAATTTCCATAAATACCAACTCTTACTGAAAAATGAAACCAGAGTAAGAGTACCATTTCAAGTATTGTAATCCTAGCTGAGAGTAATACTGCAGAAGTCAGCTCTCAATGTGAAACCTGGCATACGTCGTAAGTTTTATTTTTAATTTGTTTACTGTGGAGGTCAGTTCCTGTACATATTTATAAGGGGATGCCAATGTATTTTTAGAAAGAGAACATAAGCATTTATTACAGTACAAAGAAAAAATCTTAAACTTCAGTAGTCAAGTCAACAGCAATTAGAATGATCTCATCACTTTAATATCAGCAATATCCTGACAAAAACTCAAACCTCAGTGAAAAGTTACTTTTATCACCCTGCTAAACCTTCTTGCTCAGTTGGCAGAGCTGTAGTTGTTTTCCACACAGCAAATTTCAGCAGTTATGCCTCTTGCGCCTGCATGAAACTGCTTTCAGTTTCTTTTCTCTCTCACTGGTGCAAGTAAAATTAAAGTAAAGAAACACATGAACAATTAGCTCCAAGCTGGCTTGCTGGTCATTTAGCAAATATCACATGACTTCTTGCTAATGCTGTTTCAAAATCAATGTTTTTGATTGGCTGAACTTTTTGTAAAAAGTCAGATCTTCACAGAACTGGAATCAAAAATCCATTTCCCCCCATTTTAGAATCCAAGTTCTTAGATATTACGAAGCTTCATAAGTGCCTGTTTAATGACTGACACAGTCTGCACAGGTATGCGCATTAAGCAGAGGTAGAGGTCACATGACTACAGAAAACCAGCCAATACACCAAGTAAAAACGCATTTCTCTGATCATCTCTCTTTTCATAAATGTAAAAGAAATTGCATGGACTATTATTTATATTTATCAAGTTATTCCAAGTAACTATTATAATTGGTCAAAAGAAAATTATAATTCATTAATCAAACTGTGTGTTAACACTTGCCATTCCATTCCATGGTCTCTGTGTATGCATTACATACATAGTCCGTAGAGCACACAAACAATTTAAATCCTAATTGAGCATGTGCACATTGTTGTTAGCTGTTCATCTGTTAACAGCTCCTCAGTCCTAGGGTAGTGTGCTGTCGCTGGGGAGTGTCACTCTTGTGGAAAGTGTTGTTGCCATGGTAACTGGGGTTGCCGATCCAATTCTATTGTTAGGAAATGATGGACTGCTGAAACTGATGGTCATTCTGTACTCAGTGCAAGTGGTGTGATGAAGCCTTCCTGATATGTTGCTGAGATTAAAGGCACAGCTTCTTTAGATGAGGATAGATGCCTGCAATTGTAAGGATATATCATAATTATTCAATATGATTGGGGTGACAACTGGACAAAATGGTCAAATGTTGCCAGGTGGTCTGTTTTTTGCTGAGATATTTGGAAGTTTATTCAGTAAAAGTCACCATAACCCCATAAGCCTGCTCTTTCATTGAGAAAAATGACTGGTGGTGGCTTAACCTGAGGGTCAGCACACCTTAGGCAAGGGGAGAGGTTGAGAAGGAGGAACATTAATTGTAACCACAGCTGGTGCAGGATTTGAAATCATGCTGTTGGTATCACTTTGCATCATGAATTTATTATCCAACCCCTAGCTACACGCTGACTGTCTCACTGATGCTCAGGTCTGATGACTTGGCAGTTTTATCAAAGTAAAACTTGGCTTCCTGTCATTTTGCTGATTTTGTCACTCATGCCTATTACCACTTCCGCCTTCATCTATTTCTCTTTATAGGAAGTGTAATTTGAGGGAATCTTTGGATTGGACTACTTTCCATACCTACAGTAGATATCTTTCTCCACTCAATTGTTTCGCTCAAGTCTGTGCTGCATTTGCTTGATTTCTTCATGATTCTGCGAGAAATTTCACTGCCATCTTAGAGTTTCAATTTGACCAGAGACAGAGCAGAGATGATGCAGTGTTGAATTTCTCAGTTCTTTATGAAGCAGCTGAATGCTTCATTCAACCTTGCCACTCACCACAATGTCTGGAATGTTGTACTGACCAAAGCGTTCTTTTAGACATTTTACAATCTTACTGGTAGAGATTGACAGCAACTAGTCCAATTCCCAGTATTCAGAATATTAACTAATTCTGACAAGATAACCAGTTTCTGCAGGTGTGAGCAAGACTACTCTCAGCTTCATCCATGATCTATCTGCAATATCATGTGTCATAAGGGGTTCTTTAACTTGCTTAACTTGGTATTTGTTCCAAGAACTGCATTGGTTAATGTGATGCTTAATCTCGTCACTTCTGTTTGGCTAGTTAAATATTTCTTTTCCCTTCCTTAGACCAGACTCAGTTCTTTGATGGCTTCAGATGCACTTCAGCAACTCTTCTTATTTTCTTGGAACAATGATTCTATTTCTATATGTAAGTCCTTCTTGAAAACATTCAATATTTTTGGCCTTAACAACATTCTGCAGCACAGAATTCCACCTGATCACCACTCTATTGGTGAAGAAGTTCTCTTCATCTCAGTACTAATTGACCTATCCCATATCTTTAGACTGTGGCTCCTGGCTCTGGACTCGAATCCTCTCACTATGAAGGTCCACATACTATTTGCTTCTTCTCTGCCTGCTGGACCTGCATACTTATTTTCAGTGGCTGGTGTACCAGGACACTGTATCTCTCCCCTTTCCCAATTTATCATCATTCAAATAATAATCTGTCTCCCTGTTTTTGCTAGCAAAATTGATAACCTCAAATTTATCAACATTATACTTAGTCTGCCATGCATTTGCTCACTCACACTGAAGCACCTCTGCCTCCTCGTCACAGTTCACCCTCCCACCCCTGTTCTCTAATTGGCTCCTTGATATATTAATACAGAAAGCAATTTGTACTTACCAGGAATTCCTCCTCTATGGTATTGTTACTGATTTGATGCGAATCTATTGAAGCTAATGTCCATTTTGACTACCAAGAAATAACAGCAAGATGACTGAAACACCTGCTGTCAATATGTTAGTAGTCATCGCTGACTGAAAGTTTAACTGGACCTGCCATATTAAAACTGTGGCTCCAAAGGCAGTGCAGAAACTGGGAGCTCGAGGACAAGTAGTTCACACCCTGACTTTTTCAAGTCTTTTCAACCTTTGGAAAGTTCAAGTCAGGAGGATGGGCAGAAACCACAGGATGGAGATGGAAGTATCTGTTGCAACAGACTCAAACTCCACAGCATAATTGTGACAAAAGTTTGTTTAATTGTTACTTCTACTGCCAAGCGGAAAAGTCATTCCCTGAATTAGCAGCATTTCATGGTTGTAGTGTGCATGACAGTGTAGACTGCAACAATTTACTCAAGTAACATGAAAAGCACTATCCTCACCAATAAACTCTACCATTCAGAAGGACACAGGCAGATTATATGTGGAGTCACCATAACCTCCAAGTTTTTCAGTATATTGAAATGGGCATATATGAACATTTCTTTAAGATCGTGGGCCAGTATCCTGGAATCTAACACCATTTTGGGAGCACTGACCTATTAAGAAATGCAGCAGATTAAAAAAGCCCATCATCACCAACTTTTTAATGTAACTAGTGATGTATAATAAACACATTTCAGCAGTGTTGTCAGCACCCCAATGTCAAATATCAAGAAGTATTTCCTGAACTTATGTGTTCAGCATTGTCTGCAAAAGCTGTTATGCTAAAAATAATTTGTTACTTCTAATCCGCTGCTATTTAATACATGGTAACATTGTATACAAAGAAATGGTATGTGACTTATATTGAGGTGGGGTTATCATTTTCAAAATATGGCAAGACCTGTGTTGTGCAATATCATTTAATTAGCAGCAAATGTTATCTTCCGGCAGATACTGGTGGAGGGGACTTTCCAATCAAGTTTATATTCAGTGTTTCCACTCAAAGATCACACTTTGCAGCTGTGAGATGTCAACAGAACAACAACAAACAGAAAAACGCTACGATCCAGATGATCGTACACTGAAATTTGTGAAAAGGAAGGATGAGATCACAGGTAAGTTAAAATATATACATTCTGTTACATGCATGATTATGTTTTGAACCAGCAACAGAATTTAGTGTTGGAATTTTTATTTGCTAATTCATGGTTTTGGACTAGCATGATAAATGACTTTTTCAAGGTCTCTAAAAATCTTTTGATTTTTCTTTGAGAAGATCGTGTCCTTTCAGATCAGGGCGGTGTGACTTCCTCTGATTATGAGCTGATATAAGTGCAAGTAAACTGACATTACTGCTATACTGAAGTATAGTTATGAAATATGAATTGAACACTTCAATACTTTGTCTTGTGTACAATTGATCAAATTTGAAGCATATTTACTTTGGCAGTACAATCGTGGTGCATTCAGTTTCACGTTCCCAGATATCTATTGAGAAAAGAAAGTAAAGTTGCCATTTTCCCACTGTCTCATTAAGGTGAAACAGCTGGTAGTGATTTAACCCTAGAGTTATAACACCTCAAGTGAGGAGACAGATTGAGAAGGAGAGTCCTTCTCAGTAAACACAGCCAATGCAGGAATTGAATCAATGCAGTTGTCATCACTTTTAATCATAAATTAGCCATCCAATCAAATTTTGGTGATCATTGTCAGAGTTCCCCAAATATCCTTTAATATATATGGGTGGCGAGGTAGGGAAGATTTCAATCTACCTCATTGCATAACAAGATTTGGGGGCTGTTGTCGTGCAGTGGTAATGTGCCTACTTCTGCACCAGGAGACCCAAGTTTAAAACCCACCTGCTCTCGAAGTGTGTTACAACATGTCTGAAAAGGATGATATAAAAAAAAGAAACTGGAGGATGATTGTTGTTTCAGCTATACCTGTAATGCAGATGTCTCTTCCTCGTAGGAATTTGAAGATCTGTGTGAGACATATATTTCAGTTAATGAATTTTAATGTCTAGATCATTATCCCTTGGATCATGTTTTCAGTTTCAAAGTGGTGGTCAGATGTGGAAACTTAAATGGGACAATAGTTGCTTTGCCTGGTTACTTAGACACAACTTTATAAATTCCTGTTGAGCTCAGCAACTTTCAGGTCCAGTAATTTTAGAGCTATTTAAGTTGTTGCAGCTTAATATAATTATTTCGTCTCAAACTAAAGTCCAAAGTTTTATTTTTAAAAATTAATTTAATTTTAAAGAGATTTAAAGTTAATGGTCTGTATTTTGCATCGCCACAAGACCTTGATTGAGCCAGGCAAATACTATTATCCAATCTTTAATATTATAATAACCAATAAGCGAAAGTGTTCAAAGAAGTGAGGAAAGAAACATTTCTTCAATGTCCTTTAATTTACTCTGGCTTGTTCACAGCAATGCTCAGGGGAAATACAGTGTGAAGCTGGAGGAACACAACAGGTCAGGCAGCATCAGAGGAGCAGGAAAGTCAACGTTTCGGCTTTACACCCTTCATCAGGATCTGCAGCTTCTTACTATCTCCTAATGCTCAGGGGATTAATCTTTAATTCTTTGTAGGACAATCTTGGAAGGTTGGCAACAATCATCTCTCCTACTTGAAGGTCTGCCTGGGTAGCTTGTATATTTTAGAAATTACAATCAGGAAAATTGGAAAAAGACATGTTTTTAATTGCATATTTTCTTTTAGAATATGGGCGGGCATTTTAAAAGATTGGATACCATTTTAAAGTAGGGACGAGCATTAACACAAATAAAATTCAGCAGACCATTCCATCTTATGTTTTATTGTTTATATCCATCATCATGTTAAGATTTTCATCAAATAGGAGTCTTTGGGTCAAATGCTGTTTAAACGTGCGCTTCTGCTACCAGTAGTTAACATTTGCTGATTCCCAAATAGCACTCTTTCAAAAGTGACTGTGTTTCTCGCCATTTCAGGAGATGATGATCCGAATATTTTGCGAGCAGAAATGTCCTGCAAACATGCAGTTGATCCAAACACACTCACTAGTTGGTGTCGAAGCCTTCTAGATCAGGTCAGCATTTTTAACTTTTAAACTGAGCCTGCTGAATTTAAAGGAACTATATAAATATGCAAAAATGTAACAATTTTTACTCTACCTGCAGTGGTGTATTTTATAGGTTTCAAATTTGAATTTTATCAAGACAATTGAATCATTCTTTTCCCTAATCTCCAGTACAATAAAATATGCTGTAGTGAATATCTCAAAGGATACCAGGCGACATTCTTCCCAGAAAATAGGACAGGTTTCGAGTAGCCTGGAGTGTATAACCCTTGTTAAAAATGATATTCTGAACACATGGGCCTTGTTAACAAGACCTGTATTTATGGTTCATCAAAATAAATCACTTCACACTGTGCTGTATGAAGTTATTCTGGTTCTCACAATTATTTCAAATATGGCATTTTATTAGTGTCGTAATCTTTAGATCTACTTTTAACAATTAAAAATAAAAAACTGCAGTTTATTTATCTGTTTTACCATATTGAATCCATTTGAGTAAGTTGGAACTCAGTTAGGGAGTTGTAACTGAGTGATATAGTCCTCTCTGCCACACACACGACGATCACTCAATTAAGTTTGAAGTCTTCATTTTCATTTAATTTTGGAACCATAGGGTCAGTATAAATTTTTCTGCCCAGCACTAAAGGAGGGAACTACTGAGAAATGTGGACAAGAATGGCCCTATGATGAAGTTCGCAAACTGGCAGTTCTGACCACAGAGGAGCAACGATACTTTGAAGAAACTGTTGCTGTGTTGGCTGCAGCTGAGCACTGCGAATACAAATCAGTAAGTTCACAACAGAAGTAACAATGCAAGATAACTGTCACATTACACATAGACATATTTAAGTGTTTAAGATTTAAGTCATTGAAGTGAACTGTATAAAGTTGAAGCCCCAGCACAGATTTCTACACACATCACCAGTTTACACATGTTCTCTATTTTCTGTCACCTGGCAAATCTTCCATTAATGCTATTATATTATCCCTTACTCCATGAGCTTCCATTTTACACAATAGCCTTTGATGTGGCAACTTGTCAAATGCCTTCTGGAAATCTGAGTAGAATATGTTTGCAGGCTCCCCTTAATCCATAGCACAGATTATTCCTTCAAAGAACTCCAATAAATTGGTTAAACACGATTTCCCTTTAACAAAACCATGTTGACCCTGCACAGTTACCTTGAACTTTTCTAAGTATGCAGTTGTAATCACTTTAGTCATTAATTCTTATAACTTGCCCACACCAGACATCAAGTGAACTTGCCTGTAGTTTCCTATTTTGTGCTCACCTCTCTTCATGAATAGAGTGGTTACTTCCCAGTCCAATGGAACCTTTCTTGAATGTAAGGATGTTTGGAAAACTATCACCAATGCATTTACTTGCTCATTAGCCACCTCTTTTATGACCCTAGGATGAAGTTTGTCTGGAGCCAGAAACTTGTCAGTCCAAAGCTCCATCAGTTTGCTTAATAAAGCTTTCCTCATGGTTGTAATGTCATTATGTTCCCCTCTCCCTTTCACCTCCTGATTTACAGCTATTACTGGCATGTTCTTTTACTATTGTCTGTGGTGAAAACAGGACCAAAATATTTGTTATTTCATCCTTCAATTCCTTATTATCTACTCTTAACTCCCCATTCTCATGCTCTAGAGATCCAATTATCACTTTGCTTATTCTTTTACTTTGCAGATACCTATAGAAGATCTTGCTGTCCAGTTTTACATTCCTAGCTAGCTTCTTCTCATAATTCTTTTTTTTCCTTAGAGTCATACAGCACAGAAACAGACCCTGTGGTCCAACTCAGGGGGGCGGCACGGTGGCACAGTGGTTAGCACCGCTGCCTCACAGCACCAGGGACTCGGTTCGATTCCAGCCTCGGGCAACTGTCTGTGTGGAGTTTGCACATTCTCCCCGTGTCTGCGTGGGTTTCCTCTGGGTGCTCCGGTTTCCTCCAGGTGCTCCAGTTTCCTCCCACAGTCCAAGGATGTGCAGGTTAGGTTGATTGGCCATGCTAAATTGCCTGTAGTGTTCAGGGATGTGTAGATTAGGTGAGTGATAGGGGGATGGGTCTGGCTAGGATGCTGTAAGGTTTGGTGTGGACTTGTTGGGCCAAAGGGCCTTTTTCCACACTGTAGGGATTCTATGATCTATGATCCCAAACTAAACTAGTCCCATTTACCTGCGTTTCCCACATTCCTCTAAATCTCTCCTATTCATGTACCTGTCCAAATGTCTTTTAAATATTGTAACTGTACCTAAATCTATCACTTCCTCTGGCAGTTCATTCCACATATGAACCACCCTTTGTGTGAAAAGTCGCCTCTCGGGTCTCCTCTAAATCTTTCTCCTCTCACCTTGAAAATATGCCCTCTAGTTTTGAACTCCCCTACCCTAGGGAAAAGACATTTGCTATTCACCTTATCTCTGCCCTTCATGATTTTATAAACCTCTAAGGTCAACCCTCAACCCCTTGTGCTCCAGAGGAAGAAGTCCCAGCCTATCCAGCCTGTCCTTATAACTCAAACTCTGCAGTCCTGATAACATGCTTATATGTTGTTTCTGCACCCTCTCCAATTTAATAATATTGTTCCTATAGCAGAGCAACCAGAGCTGTACATAGTACTCCAAAAATGGCCTCACCAATGTCCTGTACAACTGCAAATGATATCCAACTCCTATACTCAATGGTCTGAACAATGAAAGCAAACATGCCAAATGTCTTCTTAACCACCCTGTCTACCTGTGATACAACTTTCAAATAACTATGTACCTGAACCCCTAATTCTTCTGTTCAACAGCAATTCCCAAGGCCCTACCGTTAACTGTATAAGTCCTGCTCTTGTTTGTTTTATCAAAATGCAACCCCTCACATTTATCCAAATTAAACTCCTTGCCACTCTTTGGGCCATTGGCCCAACTGATCAAGATCCCTTCCTAATCTTAGATAACCTTCTTATATAACATAGAAGACCACTGGCCACCAATTTTGGTGTCATGAGTTTTCAACTTGCATCTCAACAGTTACTGGAATTTAATTATTGAATGTGTTAAGTTTAATAGACAGAAAAAGAATAAGCTAGGTGGAAGCGTGGAATTGTTTATAAATTAGGCTGGCAGAGAACTGTGCTTATGAAGGTTTAAATACAGAATTGACTCATCTTCTTCCACTTCCTTTTTCTTCATTGTAGGAGTGTAACAATCTTGAGGTGTTGTGGGGAGTGGAATTAGGGTCCTGATTTTACCCTAGAAATAATGGTGAAACTGTTAGCACTCATCATCATGGACAACTGAAACAACAGCAACTTCTAGGGTTTCACCTATCACGGTCGCAATCTGGGTTATCAACATGTACATATTTATCTCACTATACTTGGCTTTATTTCTTCCTACTAGTGTCCGGGATGCGGCACATTTGTTGAACGCGAAGACCTGACTAACCTAAATGTAAACTGCATTATCTGTACTGCTGAGAAAGGGAGTATTTTCGAATTCTGCTGGCAATGCTTGAAACCATGGAAAGGACCCGGGCCACGTTCTGACCGATGTCACAATGATGGATGCACCAACATAGAATTGGATACACTACGCAACTGCCCATTAATTGACCTCCCAGACACAGTCGTGAAAAATTGCCCTTCTATTCGGGCCTGCCCTACTTGTGGCAAGCTGCTGGAGCACAGCCAAGTTGGGTGTAAAAATATTAGATGCACTAGGTGCCGTGTTGAATTTTGCTTTGTCTGCCTTGAGCCAACAGTTATTTGCCAGGCAACCAGACAAGAGTCATGGTATGGTCTTTGTGCAAAAGAGATGGCACCAAAGCAAAATTCAATACCAGTCTGGAAACAAAGAGGTTCTCACTAGATGTATTACCGATGATGTTCCCAATAACATAACTCAATGTGCTGTTTACATGTAATGTTGATGAAATCTGAGCGAGCTTGTGTGGTGAAATGTTTGATTATGCTTGCCTGGGATGATGATTTGAATTGTCATAGCTTGAAGTATGCATGTTGAGCCTTACATTTCAAAGCATGCGGGAATGTGAGTGATTGGCATTTAAAAGGAGGAGAGATTTTCCTCAGTCATTTATGTTAAATCAAAAGCTGTATGAAGGAAATGGAATCTTCAAACCAAATAAAGGTAACTTTACATTATAAATCATACTTGCTGTTTCACTATAAAATGTCTGTTTATAATCAAATAAATTAATGTGGTACAATAACATACAAAGTATAGTTTTGATTCTTTGAGATCAAATTTAATTAACAGTAACTTCTTCAATCCTGCTAGGTGAAGACACCTCAACTGCAGACAGATTTGGTCCTAGTAAAGCCCAACATAATTGTAATAAGACTAAATGACTACAAAATTCAAGTTTAATGCATCTATAGTTTTGATTATTGGCAACAAAATGGCAATTGCGCTATATGCACACACCCTTCCACATGTTGCACTTAGACACCATGTTAGTGGGGGCTCAAGAAAGAGCCGTTAGAGAGTGCTGCAAGAAATGCACAATGGAAGTAGATGGTCAGTGTGTAATGCTGAATTGATAACCTTGCCACCATTTTGAACATCATTCCTTTAACTAACATCTTCTCTTAAACATATCCAACTAACTGTGCTTTCAACAGCTGGTTAGCGTTCCTCTGATTCCCCCTGAGCAAGTTATTTAAAGGGATCATCACTATCCTCTGTTTAGTTGTGCAACGAACTCTAACGATCTCTGAGTTTGTGGAAACAGAGTTTTCTTGCGCTGTTTAAAGTTGGCAAAGTTGATATGGAATGGAGCTGCATATGGTGATGACTTTGGTTCTGACGTCAAGGATTCTGGTTAGACTATTTGCCTACAGTTATGGCTTTCAGGAATTATACAGAGGGGAAAATGAATGACCATAAGTTGCCTGTAAAGGTAGTTTAAGATGAAGGTCTTACGCAACAATCATTTACAGGGACTGTTTTTCATTCCTCAGCTTAAACCAAGACTGTTCCTCTGTACATGCCATAAGCAACTTGTCTCTTACTCGTTCACTTGCATACTTTATTTTTATCAATTTCTTGGTCACCTTTTTCCAAATCCTAAAATCATATTCAGCCCTCAAGCTTACTATTCCATTTAAAAGCATACATACCTCCTTTTGTCTAATACTATCTTTAACTTTTATTATTATCAATATTATTATTATTTTATTATTAACTACAGTTGATCTACTTTTCCTGTGAGGTTTTTCACTCCTTTTGCATCAGCAATGGCTCAATTAATTGGTGGCACTCATCTCCTAAATCAGAAGATGTCGCTTCCAAGCCCATTGCAGAGATTTGACGGCAAAAATCCAGGCTGACAGTCCAGTGCAGAACTTGGAGACAGATATACTGTTGGAGGAGACATACTTCAGACAAGGTATTAAACTGAAGCTCTGTTGCCCTCCCGATAAAAGCTCCCACAGAAATATTTCGAAGACCCGTAAAGAAAATTCAATTGAACTGGTAGGAAAGTAAACCACTGTCTACCCTCCTCTAAACAGAATAGCCAGTTTTTATCTGAAGCTACTGGAAGAACCAAAAATTCATAGAAGACATAAATTTATGTCTGAAATACCGAGAAACTTCAGCTGTCAAGGTTTGTGATTTAGAATTAGAATCAGATTTTTATTGTTATGTGTACTTGAGTATAGTGAAAAGTGGACAATGTCACCATTCCCAGTATCATCTTAGGTACAAAGGTACTCAGGTGCAAAGTAGAAAAATAAGGACGTATAGTTAAAAGTATAACATTGCCATCTTTCCTAAAAGCTTAGCCATGCCGGGCTCACACTCCTACAAGTGTTCAATCTCTGTGTTGGGCTCGATCTCCCAACACTCACCACGACAGAGGCCAGGAGACCTTGAGTTGCCTGCTCTCGCAGCTGATGCTAGGATATCTTTATTGCTGCCACAATGAGCTCGATCTCCCCCATGCTGGGCTCACTTTCTTCCTCATTGGGCTTGCTTTCTCGCTTTCCCCTGTGCTCTCTCACTGTCCCTCACAATGGCTTGATCTCTCCACAGGAGGCAAGTAGATTAAAGTAAGAAAAAAAAACAGTGAATGATGAAAATAAAGTAACAGTGGGCAGAGCAGATGAGCTCCAGGCAGGAGCCCTTATCAACAGTAACCTGTGACCTGGGAAGCTTTATTTGGACATCGCCTGGTCAGTCCTCATTTGTGCACAAGCCGATGGAGGCACTGAAGATTGCTAACGTAGACATTCCTCAACGCAAATTACAAACAGTAGATGGCTGCAGCATATCTGAAATCAGAAGAGATGGCAGAGATAACTTTTATCTTCCCACTGGTGTAAAGTTGGAATGCAATTATTCTGATCTATGATTGTGAATTTAATAAATATGCATTTGATGTGAAAACCCCAAATTTTGAGCTTACTTGATTTCCTGGGCTTCAAGATGTAGTTTTCTGTTTGATTGTGCCTGAGTATTGTCTCAGTCAACCACATTTTAATAACAAAAATGAAAAAGTCAGCATTTTTCTCAGCACTGCATATTATACTTTGGCTCAATTTTGCAATGGCAACAGCTGGCTAACCTGTTTGTAGTTTGGCAGCGAGTGCACATCCAAATTTGTTGGGTTGTTTCCATGTCAGATTTAACCATACAATCACAGAGTTGTCCATCTTATTCCAGCTGCTGTTCAGAATCCAGCTTAACAATGGCAGCTGAGGACAGGCTGCAGGCCTGGGTGAGAGAAATGATAAAAAAAATGAATAGCACAGCAAGCTAGAGTGACAGTAAATTAAGGGAAAATTGCAATGGTGACAAGGTGATCGTCAGCCGCAATATCTCTGAAATCATTCATTTGCTGGAACAAACATTTGCCTGCTAACGGAATTATACCTGTAAGCTTGGTGGATGCATGTTATTATTCCTCATTTACGTTTTCCCATAAAACAACCTTGTGTGGACAATATCATGCGACAATTAAGTGGAGAGCTGCTTTATTCCTTTTAAAATGCATTGTGCCAAAAAATCTGGAAAGGTTGTACACAACTAAACATTTCGAATTGAAAATTACACAAGATGCAACAACAGTATACTTGTCGTTATGCACATTTAGGTGTCGAAATATGAGTGTCAAAGTCCTCTTTTTTGCAACATTTATTGCACATGTACAATATTTTTAGCATACAGCGCACATGAAAACATCAGAATTAGGAGCAGGAGTAGACAATTCACTCACTTAAGCCTGTCTACCATTCAATACTATCATGGCTGGTCTTTTCAAGTTGATCTTTACAGAAAAGAACTATACTATGTGGGGAACTTTTCTCCTCATCCACCATCCACCGCCAGACACCCTTTCTAGACAGTTAGTGTTACCATTCCCTTACATTGTAAAAGCCTGGCCAGCTGTAAGATGTTCTACAGTCTATTTGAGGGCCACACAATTTAGGAAGCCCACCATATACCTTCTGTCTGCAATCACAGCTTTCACAAAGCTACGCACTGTTTCTTCTGGACATAGGGTAGGCAATCCAGGGAAATGTCTTTGCAAAGCTATAGGTGCATGCAGCAACCAGTTACACCATCGTGGAAATGGATGATTTTGCAAATATTATGTCATGTCCTCAGAACATAAAAATCTTTTGCAGGTCACTAATTTGTTGATTTGCAAGCAGAACAAGCATTTCAAGGTGTAAGCTCTGTATTTTCATACACAGAAAAGTGTGCCATCCTTGCGGACCCTGTGGTGCACAAGGGTTAAGTTGTTCTTGTTGACTTTATGACCCAATGCAACTCAAGCACAATCTTCTTGGGCAAAGAACATCCACAAATGACCCTTACCTATGGTTTCTAACTACCCTAAGAGTGTCCCTTACCTTTTCCTCAAGTGCAACATATCATTGCGCTACCTTCTCACTAAGAAAAAATGTACAAAATTATCCATTTTCAATGGCAAGTTTACACAAAAGCGATTATCCCTATTAATACCTGTGAGCTGTTGCTTGAGGTACCAACTACATCCCTAAAAGAGGAAGCTTGAATGGTTCAGAAAGACTATGGCTTCTTCATACTCTTGGGAAGATGTGAAAATGAGTGCACATGGCATTGCTTTAGCACCATACAGTATATTCAGCTACTGACAGATGAGCACATCAATACATCATGTTGAACGACCTCATCAGGCGTCATTGAATGACTTCACCCCAGGGAGTACAAAGGCACTTCAAGAAGCAATCTTTTTGATTACCGGGTTGGAGGTAACTTTTTAAAAATCTTTTTTGGCAGAGATTCAGAAACTTACATGGTCTAGTGTGCATAGATTTTTATGTGGTGGAATTTTTCTCACCTTTCAATTGCATGGGCAATAGGGAAAAGGATGAAAAATTACAGCAACAAATGGAAAAATCAGATTCTCACCAACCTCACTAATGAGTGGTGACTACCTTATTTCCATGCATTTACATTTTATTGTTAGCTCAACTTGTCTCAGTTCTATGCAACTCCTAATTCTCTTCTCTCCCAAGAAATTAGAGCGTACCAATCCCCAACATGAAAGTCAGAGCAGTTACTGGTGGCAACAGCTCACCACATGTTTCTGCTGGACTTCAGACACTGTCTGAAGACTTCTGTCTCCCCCACTATGTCCCTGCAGTTTTATGCATAACATTCTTCTCCACCCTCCATCCATGCAAATTGGCCTCATCAAGCCACTAGTCTCACCACGTTATCATGCTTGCTTTCAGACCGCTTTAGTCCTCCAGGACTTCACAGAAACATTTCCTCTTAGTGGAGGGATCTTTGGCCAGAGGGCTCAGATTTAAGATAGGAGGTTTAAAGGGGATATGAGGACTTTTTTTTCACTCCCTGTAAATTTGGCAGAGGCAAAAACCCTCAAACTATTTTAGAGGTATTTAGATGTACATTTGTGATGCCAAGACATATAAGGCTATGGGCCAAGCGCTGAAAAATGGGATTAGAATAGTTAATTGCGTATCTTTGACCAGCTTAACTCGATGGGCCAAATGGCCTTTCGGTGTGCTGTAGACCTCTATGACTCCATGACTCCATTAGTTTTATTTACATTGAGTGTTAAGCACATTAAATATTATTCTTTTCTTTTCAAAAAAGTACAAGGAAACCTTAATGGACCCTACTCATTCACT